CTGATTGGGCGTGTGCTCTCTTTTGCCAGGTGGTCGAATTATGGCATAGGAATTGTGGTTGTTATGGAATTACTTGCCACGCAACGTAACCCCGCTATAGGGTTTGGATGGTTGGTTGGGGGCGTGTTTCGCTTCTCCCGTAGCGGTCGAGGACAAGCCTCAGGACTGCATTTTTTACAGCTGGGGCGCTTTGGGCCATCCCGAGCAAGCGGTTCCTGGGGAGGAAGCTGTCCGGAGCAATTTCCCATTTCCCATATCGCACAATGCTTCTCTTTTTTTATTTTTTACCTTTTATACAACAAATGACAAACGGATCAATTGGGATGCCCGTGCTTTACAGTTATTGCGTAATTCAGTGTGTTGCTAACCATTTTTTTTTCAAAGGCCACATAATTTTTACTAACTTGTGACATGTTTATTTCTGTGAGAAGACTTTTTTTCTTAGTAATCATGCGCTTTTGAAACCAAGCCCCGCTGATTTTACCATGTGGATTATCTGGAGCTGTGCCGTAGCTAATACCCGTAGTTCTCACCCTGTTGATGAATCACTGTTTCCGAGGCATATTTCATGGGATTTCAACTGTGCTTAAACGATATGGTGTCACTTTGTGGGAAGGTATTTTTTATTTTTGTCAAAAACAATAGGGGCAGAAAGAGTTTTCAAGAGCTTCTATCGATAGGCAGGGGTGTCAGCACAACAAACTGTACCCCTTTCCCCTTGCCGTTCTAGAAGCAGAGCAACACCCTTAAGCAAGTGTTGGTATTGTTGAGAACTGTGGTCTCCACAGAGTCCCCGATATCCCCGCCAAAGGCCCCTGATCCCTTTCGCAGATATCACTTGTACTGGATGCCGCACGCCAACGCCGCTGCCACTACCGGAAACATTCACCCTCCACGCACGGACGCCTATAGAGAGGTCGCGCCACCGTTAATTTCATATAATACTAACAGAAGGACTGCCAGCCGGAAAGTGAAACCAATGTTTAGCTATTCGATATTCTCGTAATACCGGTGACAAATTATTTGAGGTTTGGAGAGAGGGAAGTTCATCGTAGGGTGTTGCTGCCCTTGAGGCTAAAAACACATCCTATCCATACAGAAGCTCAAACAGTGGGAAAAGGGTTAACAGAATGAATCGATTGGCCTTTGCGTATTAATTATGTATTCAACAGGTCATTGACCACTTTTATTGCTAGCTGGAAATTGACAGATCCTACAAGTTGAAAGACATCAATCCCATTGGGTTGATTTTCGTCCAGCGCGTCATCCACTATACGTTTAAGATGTTGAAACCCACTAGCTTCATCATAAACACTGCGTAGCAGATAATGGCCCTGCACGAGGGCGGCCTTGTCGTCAAGATGCCCCAGGTAGTCCCACGCCTTCTCCAATGGCATTTGCCGAACCGCCGAATCCACATGAACCCTGCCCGTTCGAAAAAGCTCCTCCACATCCCACCCCAGCAGGACGATCCCGCGGAGAGGACCCAGGACCGCGGGGCAGCACCTGGGCCCCCGTGACGTGTGGAAGGCCTCCTCCAGGTGGACCTGGTACTTCTGCGCCATGCCCCACAGCACCCCGTCCGAGTTTCGCAGGAGCTGCCGTGCCGTAGAGGGGTTGGCGAGGGCCGGGGGCCGCACGGCGGCCGCGAGAGCGGAGTTGGGGCAGAGGGACCCCGCGACCGCCCCCAGCCCCACCGAGACCGACCCCGGGACGCTGGCGAGGAAAAAGGAGCCCCGGGCCGGCCCACCCCTCCCCTCTGGCGAGCCGATCATCGGGCCCACATAGCGCCCGGGGCAGATAAAAAAACTCTCTGAGGCGCCAAGCAGGACGTCCGGCGAGGAGGCCAGGCAGTGCAGGGCGAGGGTCGTCTTCCCCACGCGCCGGGGGCCGAGGAGCAGGACGGTCGCG